TAGCGAGAATTGGACCTCAAAATAAAGTGTGACCCCCTTAACCAATTTTTTCAAAAACACAGATTCATTCAGGAACCAATGAGTCATTGAATGATTTACTCAACTGATTTGTTCACAAATACTGCTTCATTCATAATTGAATGAGTCATTAAATCATTCACTTAACTGATTTGTTACATGATTCTGATTCATTCAGGAACAAGTGAGTCATTGAATCATTTACTCAACTTGTTTTTGTTTTTTTCCCCCCAAAAGATACTGATTCATTCAACAATAAGTAAGTGTGTTGCCTTTGTTTGGAGCTATTTTTCATTGGCAGAGCAAAAACAGACAAAGCATATTGTGTCTAAAATGCAAGAACTCTAACCTCGAAAAAAAATCGCATATTTATAGTTATGGACTTTTGTTTATAGTATAAACTGGTGTAGGAGATAATATATCAACATTGAAAACAATTACGCCAATGTCAACTTTAAGACAAATTTAGAGCTGTTGTTATAAATTAATGGGATTGTTTGTGGCAGATGTTAGCTCCCTGACATCATGGAAATGATGAGGAAATATTTACTATTTACCAATCTTATGTTGATTGAGTGATAGAAAGACGTAGCTTTCAGATAAATATCTTTTATCTGAGCCCTATTGGCCCTAATGGTCGGAAGAGAGATCTCATTAATGAGAGCTAATGCTTTAGAAACAGAAATGAGATTTATAATGAGACGCTCCTGCAAATTTGATCTTCAAACAGATGACTTTCATACGTGCAGCAGTGTTTGTGAATGTCTGGTAAGATTTCAGCTTGTGTTTTTGCAAGAGGTTTTTTGGCAGTCTAAAGGTGTGTTATTGATCAAAATGCCTTCCTCTTACCCTCCTCAGCTGGAGCTAGGTTATTTTGAGACCCAGCAGTCATCGCCTGAGGAGCAGGCTAGCAGGGAGTACAGGGATCTTCATTTGTTCTGAGTAGGTTTGGAAGGTTTTGTCTTTGAACAGGGGTCACTTCTGCTAGTGTGAGTCATACTAACATCATTAATGAGGGTGGTAGAATGAATATGTTAGGATTAGTATGACATTAGTCTCACAGAATTTAACACAAATTCTTGTGTTATTTATTTTCACTTGATTTTCATAAGAGAGTTAAAACTGCTGTTATATGGTAGACTTAAACAATTGTGGTACACTACTTTTCAAAAACAACATTTTGAAATATTACAGCTTGTAATAAATGTTTTCTATTTAAATATATTTTAATTTATTCCTGTGATGGCAAAGATGATTTTTCAGCAGCCATTACTTCAGTCTTCAGTATCACATGATCCTTCAGAAATCATTCTAATATGCTGGTTTAGTGCTTAAGAAACATTTATTATTATCAATGTTGAAACAGTTTAATATTTTTGTGGAAATGTTGATACTTTTTTCAGGTATATTGATTAATGAATAGAAAGTACAAAAAGAAAAACATTTATTTGAAGTAGAAGTATTATGTAACATTCAAAATGTCTTTACTGTCACTTTTGATCAATTGCTGAAAGTCCTTGCTGAATTGAAGTATTAATTAAAAAAAAACTGACCTTAGACCTTCAAACTGTTTTATTTGCTTGACTGTCATTTTGAAGATCTCACTAACAAAAAAGTACCATATTACATATTATTTTTGGACATGTAAAATGGCAACACCTTATTTTGAACAGTGTTTTGTATCAACATGGTCATTCAGTCATCAACAGATTTCAAACTATCCTAATTTTATTATCTGATCTCATCAATGTACCTTTGTACTGCTACATGCTTTCACTTTTTGCATCACTGCAGGCCTTTGCTTGTTTAAATTCACAATTGCTAGTACTAAGCTAACATTTTCTTGTACAAGAGCTTAGTATTCACAGCTTAAGGGAGGGAAACTAGATGAACATCTGATCAAATTTTTATGGCAAACAGGAAGGTTCAGTGCTCATTCTCTTTCTTCTTCTCTCCGAATTTCCTTGCAGCTTCCTCACTAGCTTTTTTTTCTGGTGAGATTTCTTCTTTACTCCCCTCAGGTAAAGAGTGTAGGCAGTTCAAAGATAAATACATTTTTTGACAGACAACGGCTCGTAAGATGCCGTTTCTACTACGGACATGAATAACACCTCAAATCATGCTGCTTGTTGAGAAGAGGTGTGCTATTACTTTTCCAAGCAATCTGACTTTAAATTTTCACCTAGCGAAGAAAGGCACAGACTTATCTAGACTTAATGGCCACTTCTAACTGAAGTAACCACCTAGCAACCACACAGAACACTAAATCAGTGCTAGCATCCACCTAGAACAGCCTAGCAACAATGCTGGCATGCTAAAACTGATCAGAAAATTGCATAGCAACCACCCAACACAGAATATATTTAAAAAATACTGCTTTTGATGTTAGCCTTGCCTAGACCTAATGATTTCTTTCTGGCAAACGTTTTATGCATTACATATTGCATTTTGTAACTTAATTTATAATTACAGTTTATCATTGTTATTTTTCTTACTATAGCCATTTGATTTCATGAAGGACAGCCATTTCTAACAGCCAGCGAGGCTACGCTTAAGAGCTATGAGAACTAAAAAGTCTCAGAAAAGACCGTCATTACTCTTAAAAAAAAAAAAAAAAGACAGGTTGTTAGACTTCATTACCCAGCCTGCCATATTCATATTAGTGAGGTAAAACAGCACCCCAGCAACAATGCCAGCTGCTAGCATGGGCCAAACATTAATTACAGACTGTGTAAATAAATAATGAATCCGGTGAGGGGCCATACTGAGAGGTTTGGAGGTGCTCTTTGAACCCTCTCCTGCTGTGGAGCATGTCTAATAGGGCTGGCCCCTGGTCTGCAGGCTTGTTACTGTAATGACTATGTCCTTCTCCAGCCAGGAGAGTTCATGTAAACATAACAGGAACTATTGTTCACACTGGGTCATAGCGCATTAGCCTAGCCTTGTGAGGAGTCAGGGTAAAGATCAGCGGCCAGAATGCAGTTTGGAAGAAATTCATTCATGTTTTAGAGAAGAAAAATCACAGTAGATTATTAACGAGAAGGGGGAAAAAGCAGGCTTTGACTTCTCGTGAGTAAGATGTAAATGGGACCTGCTTTTGTGTTACACAGGCAATGTCACCGAAGACTGATTACAATGAGCTTATGGGTTGTCATTATAATCAGAGAAGTGACTTCTCTGTGACTTCCGTCACAGCCCTCCTAGAGCTACATAGTTCCCCCAGTCAAAAGGATGATAAAAGGAGCTTGACTACTTTTTCAGGTCTCCAGCAGACAGATCCATTTGGGACTTGCTCATTTCCACTTGGAGGCTTCACCTTCAACAGTCATTTATCACCAGTAGCCTGTGCCACACTTCGCCAAGCAGCAGCCTATCACAACTACACTCCTGGGAAGTTTCATATCTTAGCTCTGCACATCACTGCCATTTTGTTGCCAGAGTTTGGCGCCATTCAGATTTGAATTGAGAATGCCTGTTAAAGTTCAAATCAAAACTTGAATTTACATCGGTTTTGTATTGAGGCAGCAAACGGGATGTGGAATCGCAGTTCAAATTTGAATGTAAAGAAGTTGAATTAAAATAGTTTGAAATTCTAACTAAAGCCTTGTTTAAGAGTTCTGAAAAAATATTTAAAGCCTTGAGGTTTGAATGTTTATAGGCCTTGCAGATGGATGGATGGATGGACTGACAGATAGATGGATGGATGGGTCGACAGATAGATGGATGGATCGATGGATTGATCGACAGATGGATGGACAAACTCTTCAGTTCCAAGAATGCCTTACCTGTGCTGTTTGAATTATTTTTCCTGTCATTTCAGTTTAAATTCCGGTGGGATGAGTCCATTTCAGTTCAAATTCCAACTCATGAATTGAAAGAGAGCCTATTATCAAATTTTTTGAATTTTGCACAATTAGACCACTGGGTGGTGTGTTCTCCTCAAATGGGTAAAGCTCTTGCCCCAGTCCTGGCCTGGGCTGTAAAAAGCCTGTATCCCTCCATCATCAGTACTCCCACCCCGAGCACTGCTGTCTCTCTGTCAGAGCCTTCGGGTCGCTAATCACTGTGCTTGATCGATGGCTCTGAGGTTCGCACAGCTGTTCAAGGTGACAATGTTGGGGCAGGGCAATCTTTCACTTTTTGCTTTATTTTATTCTGTGGACTCATGCGGACTCATGCAATGCAGCATGATAAAGCACCTCAGGCTTCTCCGCAATTCATCTTCTCACATTGCATCATCGTCATCTCTCTGACCTGAGTCATGCATTTAAATCATCGCTGCTGAAAACCTTTTTGCTGTGAATTAGAAAATGGTAATCAGTTTCTAGCTGGTCTAAAATGGTAATTAGTTGGTGTACGGTGGTCATTAGCTACTTCAACCTGGTCGTTAGTAGTATGAGCTTGTCCAGCAATTCTAGCTGGTCAAAGATGCTTGTTAGCTGGTTCAAGCTGGTTATTAGCCAGTCAAAACTGGTCATCTGCTAGTCTGAGCTGGTCATTAGGTGGTATGAGTTTGTCTAGCTATTCTAGTTGGCCGAAGATGGTCATTAGCTGGTTCAAGGTGGACATTAGTTAGTGAAAATAGGTAATCAGCACTTCAGCAGTTCATTAGATGTTCTGAGCAAGTCATATGAGCTAACCAGCTACCGGTTGGTTGTTCTAACTTAAAGTGTTTAGGCTGGTTTTGGAACATAGTAGCTGGTCATCCAGCTAATGTCCAACTAGTACCAGATAATGACCAGCTTGGATTGGCTAATGGCCAGTTTACATCTAGAAACCAGCTACCATGTTCCAAAACACAGCTAACATCTTAAGTACTGGGGCACCTGCCAAACGTCCAGTGTTTAAAAAACTTACTGATATAGTTTATGGTGCATTTAATCTCTTAAAGTTCAGAAGGTAGCAAAGCAAAAATGTCTTGTGTCTTTTGCTTTGTCAAAGGATCACCAGTTTGGATACTAACATGCTCTTCACTTCCACAGTCTGAACCCTTATAGCTATGACGAGAGTTGTGTGTCCAGCAGCGTAGACCATCTACCTCTGGCCGCTTTACCACTGCTCGCCATAGCTGCTCCACACTACCAAGACGCCGTCGCGACCGTGATCGCTCGGGCCAACCAGGTGTACCACAGCTTTCTGCAGTCTCCAGAGGGACAGGGGTTCACGGGACAGGTGAGTTCAGGAGCACCCAACAATCTTAAGGTGTGCTCACATTAGCAACATTTTTTATTTGTCAAATTTTCAAGTTCTTTTTTTGCTTCAAATAAACATTTGTAATGTGATTCACCTCATAGATGGTTGGTTTGGATCATGGCTTATAATGCTTTACCAAAGACCTTTTAAAAATAAAGACGAATGGAAAAATACCAATGGTATGGAAAAAGTAGGCAGGACTGTTGCCCTCTATTGAAAATATGTAGTACTTTGTTTTCAGAATTTTGCAGTGCAATGGTAAATGTGGCCGCGAGTTTAGTTTGAGTTCTGAAACCATTTTTAGCTGTTTTTTCGTAACAAAAGAGATTCGGCCACACGAGGCAGACGAGGGCGGTCCCAGATTAGTATTAGGAAGGCAAACTGTGCAGAGCAGCAGTGGGAAGGGTGTGTGGGTCTCTGGCAGGGAAAGTGACTCATCAGTGATGAGTCATTCAAAACAGACGAAAAGGAGGGAGTCTTTCCACTCGTCTTACTCCATAATCTCACATGATTAATCCAATAACTCACTCCTGTCAATTTAGAAGGAACAATGATTTCCTGAAGTGGTGACCGCAGTTTATGAGCTACATGTCAAGTGTTGACTCTCTAGGGAGCCGGACCATTTAAATAGTGCCTAAATAATATATTAGCCTTCTGATTTGGGGAAAAAATTGGGGTGCTTTTTGACAAAGCATAGCCTTGAAGTTTATTTACAGCATGCCACAGGCTCGTCAGTTGTTGACACAGATAATTAGCCCTGTGGATTTGTTTGTTTGTGGAAAGTCCATACATTATTTGAGCTCACCATAGAGGTGCTCATCAACAGCAAACAGGAAAGCATAGAGTTGCAGCTGTGTTGTTTCTGTACGATTAATTAAATGTGTTATTGACTGTCAGGCTGCCCTGTAGCTTGAGCTGTCATTATGCAATCCTGAGATTTGCCTGACGGTGTTGATTGCATGGAAAAACGCTGCACTGATTCTGGCTGAATTTGTTTGTGTGTGTGTGTGTGTGTGTGTGTGTGTGTGTGTGTTTTGTACAGGTGTGTTTGTTGGGTGACTGTGTGGGAGGTGTGCTGTGTTTCGATGCTCTCTGTTTCAGCAACAGCCCGCGACACAGCAGCCGACATAACAGCACAGAGAGCTTAAAGGTATGTACAGAAACACTGAAACACACCTGATTAGGGATACACAGTTGACAATTAAAACAGATGCCATATATTACACAAAATATATAAAAAATAAAAAAATAAAAACTAGAATCCGTAATTTCAAATGCTACAAGTCAATTTAGGCATCACAACTTTATAAAGTGCAATATGAAAATGGATGTAAAAAGTGCATACAATGAAATTCGCAATATCAGCTGATACTGATATATTAAAAATATATTACATTTAACAGTGTTATTACATTTTTCATGCTTGTAATGATGATGATGGCAAAGAAAAAATATAGGTACCACTTCACAATAAGATTCCATTTGTTAACATTAGTTACTACATTAGTTAACATGAGCTAACAATAAAAAATACTTCTAAAGCAATAAATATACTAATTAACGATTAAAGTTAAATGTTGTATCTGTTAATATTATTTAATGGATCTGAACCAGCAATGAACAGTTTTTTTTTTTTTTTTAACTGACAGTGACAAAAATGATAAATACTGTACCAACTGTATTGTTTAGTGTAACAATACTCTAAATAATAGGACCTTATTGTAAAGTGTTACCAGTGTTGGGGAGTAGCTAGCTACAAGTAGCGACACTACTAACGCAACTACATTTTTCAGTAGCATGACGGTAGCTCTGCTACTTTTAAAACAGTGCAGCTTCTCCAGTAGCTAACTACTTTTTCCAGCAAGTAGCGGTGTAGTGCGACCAAAAGCTACATTCTGTTTTGCGTTCTGACGAGTCATGAGTCTGTAATAGAGTGGGGGAAATATGACGTCACTTTGTAGGCTGATCGGCTGTTAGCATCGCACTCCTGTTAGCATCGTTTCCCTCGACAAAAAGCCAATAGGATTTTTCCATAGGCTTTTGGATTATTGCAAAAAATAAGCTCTGTGTTCAATCATAGTTCATGAAACTTACACGTTTTGTCCATCAAGATAATCTTCACTTTATTCACTTTTAACTTTTATGAATTTTGAAGCCTAAATAAAAGCGCCAGAACTTAAAATCTAAACTTAGGCTATAAACGAACTACAGTACCACAGTCACTCGCCTTCAACGTCACCACCACCATGCTTTTTCAACTTTTTCAAACTTATTTTTAACGTTCAGTGAAAAGGATTTACTCTGTGGACGAATTTTAATCCACGCTACATGAACCTTATCATATAAACTGGAATAAATACAAAACTAGAGCCAAACTAAAACTGAAATGAGACATTAGTAATAAATAGTATAGTGAATAAATGAAATAATCATAACTAAAGGACATATGAAAGCACGTATTTCTGTACATTTCGAAATAAGGTGCATTAAAAGTCAATAAATCCTTGATTAATATGACTATTTTAATTAAAAACGTGTTTCCACGTACTATTCAATAAAATTCTAGTGCATTTAATCTATTAAATAACAGCGGAGTAAGCGAGTTTTTGGATATGGTAAGATTACATTTATTTTAGTGAATAAAGTACCACATTTCAGCTATCGTTTTGTTACGGTGAGTACACAAAATGTTATTTTATCCTTGCTTCTAGAAAATCCTCAATCTATAACCGCTTCATGTGGCTGTAAACATTTAATTTTAATGTAGCATTAAGCACTATGCATCGTTAAAGTTTCACTTTCACCGTGACTAAGCCGGTAAATGTGGTGTTTACATGGAATAATCATGAGTTTACCTTATGGTACGAACCCAGAGTCTCTTTACAGAGTTTCTCTGTGAAAGCGTTAAAACGAGCAGAAATATAAAATGCGGTAAACTGTTAACTGGTTATTTTAAAATTAATTGTACTATAAATTATACAATTGGAAAATACTGTAAATTGATAAACTGTTCAGCGTGATGACGTTTAATGTCTCCAACAGCGCCTGTAGTCCCATTTAGCAACTTGTTAGCGACTGTCTTTTTTAAGAAACATAACAGTTTTAAAAAATCATGAGAGGGGTGTAACTGGTGTATGGAACGATATTTCAGACAATTTTCAAATAGAATAGCAAATGGTATTTTCAATTGCGTTTTCAATATGTGGACGCATAAAGTGTGACATAATCCAAATGCAATTGCAAATCCTGTCTACACGTATTTACCTATTTGCCGCCTATCTTATTCCTATCTAATAGCCTATGTGCACCTGCCTCAAGAGCTCTCAGTCTGTTTACGATCCGATAGATGCATGTGACAAAACAGAAAATGCTGCTACTCTTACTCTGCCTGCCCCAGATGACACTTCACCAGTCAGATCTAGGTGCAGCTGTCACAGAACACGCCACAGCCAAGGCAAGATAACATTAAAAATCACGTGCATCAATCGCGGTGTCCAGTGGCTGTGAATAGTGAGAGATCTTGAGGCAGGCGCAACGCTTTGGTGCCACGTACGGGACGCGAACTCCATAACGGATTAAAACTGTGGAATAAAATATAAAGTAAGGTGGAAAATAAGTATAGATTTGCACTGTCTGTTTGTTTAAGTGCATCAAGTGGAGTGCAAACGGTAAAAGGTCTTGAGGCAGGTGTGACGCTCTCTATTACGGATTAAAATAGTAAGTGAGTGTAAACAGTGAGAGATGCTGAGACAGGTGAAAAGCGTTTGGTTAATAGTGAATATTGACCTATTGTGCGTACCGTTGTGGCTCCCGCTGTTAGCAGGGGATAATCGCTACATTTGGGGTAAAAAAGACAGAATTATGTATTGTCCCAAGAAGGTTGCACTGTCTGTTCGTTCACACAGGTACGAAACTGATTGGTAGCTGCCTTTAGCGGAGCCTTTACCTCACTTCCGGGTTTTTGCCTACAAAGTGACATCATAGTTCCACCACTCCATGAAGCAGCACAGCATCTTCTTCTGACTAGATCACAAACCAAATTTGTTCATTACCGCCATCTGTTGAGATACCACGCATCTCGCGGCTTTACCGTCTGTCCACTCACCAACAGATCGTCTGATGATTTTGCAAAGGATGTACAGAAGTGGATATTCACATTAATCAACTGTAATTTATGCAAAACAAAGATTAAAATGCGATCTACGTCGAAGACTTAAAGCATATACAGGAGGTGAATAATAGCCTTTTTAAACGGATTAATTTTCCTGCTTTATTGCACTCTGTCAAAGGCTTATTTTACAATGATGAACCGTCATAATACAGTCTGTTCCCCCACAGTTTTGTAGTGAACACTAATCCAACAGAAAATAAAATTGCGATATAGTGTGCTTATCATTTGGCAAAGGATGGTTGCGGCGGGTTTCCACGCAAAGTGCAGTGTTTACGCGCGCAGCTGATGATTGACATCTCAGAGCGACTCCATTCACAGTCAGTAAATATGAGTTTGACCTGCTTATTTTACGACTCTTCTGCATCTAGTTTAAGTTGCATTCATTTTGTTCTTGCATTGATGTTACATTTGTAGCATTTTTGCACTTTGACAGTAAGTTTGAGATAATGTAGGCTAACTACTATATAACTATATTTTATTATTGTGTGTATCGGATAGTTTTCAAAATCAAATGATTGTAACACTTTTTGTAATTGAAATGACTTGGAAAAAGTGTCCCAATCAACCAGAACTCACCCTACTCTTTGAAATCATGACTGCATTACAATATGTTGTTTTAAACCCCAAATATCTTACTTATAACTTCATTATATTTTACTTATAACTTTATTAGAATTCTTCATTAACAATTATTGAGTTATTTGTAATGTTAAATGTAAAAATAAAATAATAATAATAACTGAAAGTAGTTTCAATGTAGAGATACTTTTTGATAGGAACTTGTAGTGTAGCTACTTTTTCAGAAGGGTAGCTTGAATGTAGCTTAACTACTTTAATTTACGAGTAGCTTGTAGCTGGTCAAGCTACAGTTTCAGAGTAGCTTCCCCAACACTGAGTGTTATCAAAATAAAGAAATGTTAAAAAGTGAATATATAGTGCATGCACAATGAAATGCCCAATACTGACTTACACTGATAAATTAAAACATCTGTAATCTTGGCTAATAACAGATAGGGTACTTGACATATTTTGCATCCCTGTAAATGATATGTCTTTAATATCTCACTTTATTCATCTAGACTGCAATGAGATTTAATTGGAAAACTTTTTGCTTGTCTGATTTTTCTTCTAGTAGTTTCACATCTTTAAAGTTGTAGATGAAATCTCAAGAATGTCACAAACTCTGCTCAGATATGCCAAGATATCAAAGTCTGAATATTTAATATCTCAATATAAAAATGTCTCATCAAAATTCATGGTGGAAAAAGTCCGAGTTATTCTATCCACATTAATTTCATAGCTCTGTAGTATAACTCTGAATGTCGATAATTGTCTCAATTGAGTTTATTTTTATCTTTTGAACCCTCTGAGACAAAGTTGATAAAGAAACATCACTGAGAGCTCATTTTAGTCTTCTGAGTTATCAAAGAGCAACTTCTGGGCAAATTCCTGTGGGTTTTCCTATCACACTACTGTGATCTTCAGGGAGCACAGAACAGCTGTCACATCAGTCACACCATCCAGACACTGTACTTTAGTGCTCATTTATATTATTTGCACATTTATATAAATGATGACTCTGTTCAACTGGCTGTCTCACATTTTCCACACACTCAGGATAACCCTGAGGTCAGTCCGAGTCTGAGCTCCAGCAAACGTCTTAGCAGGAGCAACACTGACTTATCTGCCCCCAGTGAGACCCGCAACAGGAAAACTCCACTCAGCCGCAAACAGAGCGACTCGTATGATGGAGAGTCCTCTGGCAGCCAGCACCACCTGTTCCTCAGCAGGTACTGTATGCTTGAAAGAACACACACCAGAATTTTAACCTGCTTCTAGAAGTGTTTCTATTACAATATTTTCTCCATGCAGAAACAATCTCTGAAGAGTGTCAACATTGCTCTTGTTTTTTGAGTAGACTGACATATCATTGGTGTGTTCATTTTTTTTTAACAATGGCAGGGAGTATTTGCATTAGTTTCGTAATTAGTTTTAGTAAATTGGCATATTTTAATTGTTTTTGGTGCAAATAAGCATTCTTAGTGATTTTTAGGATTATCTATGCTTCTATTTAATATGCTTCTTTTTTGTAATAAGAAATCAGAACAAGATTACCCAGATGTGTCCCTCTGGACAAGCCATTCATAAATGTGTCACATTTTTTCTTCAATCCTGTTTATCAATATTTGCTGCTTCATGGCATGTTGCGTCTGCCTGCAGGGCTATTAATAGTCACAGCTGCAGTCAGTGTGCGAATACTGTATGAGAGATTGAAGCAGAAGTTGCTCAATGCCACAGCAGCAAAGGACCAAATATCCGACTGTTTATCTTCTAAATTATCCTATTTAGGGTATTGATGTGGCAAGAGAGATTTCTCTGCACTATTGTTGTAAGTCTCCAGCAAAGCTCTTTTATTAAAAGAGTTCCTGGATATTGCTGTGTACAACAATAGCATTCCATGTGTTTACCCTCAGTTACAGCTAACAATTTATGTCATTGTGCATAAAATTATATGTCAAATAAAGTAGTATTCTTATGCAGCTTCGGATTAGGGCTAAGCTTTGTCATGTCAAGGGGTAATTGAGTCACTGGGGAATACATAAACTGTTTTAAATAAAATGTGAGCACAAATGAGAATAAATAAATGCACTTTAACATGTTCCAAAGTCTTGAATCCCATAAGCCAGTCAGGAAAATCTAATATTATAATCTGAATATTTGAAAGTACTGAAGCATGCTTGGAAAATCTTTATTTACATGCTTAATTTTATTTATTTATCATTTTGAATATAAATGTATTGAGTGAAACAATATTTACATGTTAATTTGTACTATTATATTTTAATATTTTAAAATATTTAATTTAATATATAATATTATACTGTAATGTTTAGTGTTATATACTGTAACATGGTATACTGTAATATTCCTTTTAGTGTAGTAACATTTTCAGCGTTTATTTTTACTTAGTATTTCCTAGGTACAATGTGTGCTATCACAAAAATGCTTCATTTAGTAATTCAGCCTAATATTTTGTCAAAATGCATGTTTTATATATTGGTAATTCATCAACAAGCATCAACAAGCCCCTCTTTTTGTATGTTTAAATGTGTGTAAATAAATTTGCTGTTACATAAAACTTATTTTATTTGCAATATAGAAAATACATATTCATATGCAAAATGTAAAAAATTAAAATAAATGTTTTTTTTTTGCATACAGTAGGGTTTTTTCTATAAAAATGCTGGCTTAAGGGCACCATGATGCTGGTTTCCTATTGATGATTGATCTAGCAACCTTTTCATTACCAGCCCTTACAATGCAAGTTATCTTGTCATAGGTTTTTATATCTTGCACCTATGTACAGTCTCTAAAGGGCCACTGAGAGGAGTACTGGACAAAAGCACTTTTTCTCACCCAGGACTGATAGCGCTGGACCTAAGGGAGACTTATCACTTAGTTCATCCATACCCCTCAGCTCTACTACATTTCACTCCCAATCATCTGTCCCCGGGGTCCTGTACACCCCATCCTTTTCACACTCAGTCTGAGGTGAGATAGCCAGTCTTTAAGAGCTTTTCTGTCATCGCTCCTAGCATGATGGTAATAAAGACAAACAATTTGCGATAACAGGGTGGAGATTTGAAACGCAGTGAAGAAGAGTTGTTGACAGTCCAACAGAAAGATTCTTGCTGTAATCCGTTGGGGTTGAATATGATTTTATATCAGGGTATGCACATTTTTTGATATCCGTGAGGACAACTGTCTGGGTATTCTGGAAGGAATAGCTCACCAAAAATGAAAATTTGCTGAAAATGTACTCACCCTCAGGCCATCCAGGATGAGTTTCTGTAGAAAGCAATATTATGAATAGAGGACTTGTATTTTATCCGGAAGCAACAGTTTAAATGTAAAAAATGCACATCTTGATGGATTTGTTTCTTACAAACATTGACAGAAGACAGAAATTGATGAACTGTATTTGTGTGGATTATTTGTGGATCTGTGATGTTTTTATCAGCTGTTTGGACTCTCATTCTGACGGCACCCATTCACTGCAGAGGATCCATTGGTGAGCAAATGATGTAATGCTAATTTCTCCAAATTATTCTGATTAAGAAACGTCATCTACGTCTTGAATGGCCAGATGGAAATTTACAGAAAATATTTGTGTGGACTGTTGCTTTAAATAACTCCCAAAATGCCAAAGGCAACAACTACGTGGCATACTGTAACTTTATAAGTAAATGTCATCTTTTGTGTGTGTGTATTCAGTCTGATACAGGATGGAACAGACCTGAGACCGAGCAGCAGCACCAGTTTAGTGTTGAATCCAGGTCGCTTTGACTTTGAGGTGTCGGATTGTTTTCTGCTGGGTTGTCCTCTTGGATTGGTGCTTGCAATGAGACGCACTGTGCTTCCAGCTGTCCAGGGTTGGTGTGGAAATTCTCCAATTAATGTTCAGGACACATTGTCCTTTGAATACATTCCTGTTATGATTTCTTCCTCCTCAATCATATTTACAAATAATTTGGTCATCGTTTTCTTTTCTATTTATCTTGCAGTGTCTCAGCTCCGGCCTGCATGTTCACAGATCTTCAACCTGTTTTACCCCTCTGACCCGTCGGCCTCTAGACTCGAGCCGTTGCTGCACTCCCAATTCCACAAACTGCCTCCGTTCCCTGTGCCCCGCTACCAGCGTTATCCTCTGGGAGACGGTCGTTCCAACCTTATCGGTGAGTGAGATATCCCGTCGAGAATCAATTATACTGTACTCTGCTAAACCACATGCACAAATACAGTGCAATATTCACTCATTTGTTCCTTTTATTATGTTTCATAATTGCTTTGTCACAGTAATACGCTTATCTTGGGTTGCCAAATGGTCTCTGTGTGCTATTTCGAAGGAATTATTCTGGTTTGGCTGTTAACAAAGTTTTCTGGGGAAGAAACTACAATGGCTTTTTCTATGACTTCCTCCTTTCCCAAACGGACAACTGCTAACCTGAGCAATACTGTGCCCCCTCTCGTCCCCCTTACATTCTTTTACTCGGTGTCAGATTCCCTGGAGTTTTACCAAGTTCTGCAGGCTGGTGTCTCGCTCTGTAATGAGGTCTTGATTTATTTAGAGCATATTTTATCCTGCTTTGCAGACATATTTAACTTACATGTCATCCATTTTAGGCTTGTTCTATATTCTAGGCTAGGCTTAGAACTAGGACAAATATTATTGAGCTAATGATGTATCCTTTAGAAACATTTCAATGACAGAAATAACGAATCTGGCTAAACTAGTGTTTTAGAATTTTTAATATAATATTATAGTATTTATTAATATTTTGAATTAGCTTTTAATTTTAGATATTCATTTTAGTTCTAGTTTAAGATTTAGTCATTTGATGTGATTGTCATTTTTATTAGATTTGTTTATCTTTCTAGATGCTTAAATTGATTTTTCAGTTTTAATTTGAGTAATTTTAGTATTTTAAAGCTATTTCAGTCAATGCTTGTATTCAAGTGTGCATCTAACACACACACACACACATAAACAACACACATATTAAATATTTTTCAATGTCATTTCAACGGACTTTTCAGAAGATTGAAAGATGAAAATGTATTCAAAAACAAACTGAAACGAATAGTAAACAAATTTGAAAATGCTTAGGGATAATAAAGCACTCTAAATATGATGTGTAAATGAGCTGTTTTTAAGATCATTTGACAGGAAAGCAAATGCATACAGTATTAACTGTGAAACCTTCCTGAAAAAGGAAGGGATTACAACCCTCATCAACACAATGCAACAGAGACAGGCATCAGCCATTGAGAGGAAACAGTCTGTGTCTCACAGGAAATGTGACACTGACTTTTAATTATATCAAGTCTCACTCTGTTGATCATAGGCGAAAAATGTCACAATATTTGTTAGATACCGAGGCGTGGATGTGTCTAATTTAATGCATGCGCACACACACACACCGCACACACATGCTCTGTTTTAATGCAGTACTTAATAATTGCCATCCTAATGGAGTATCTCTGGAGCAGCCTCCCATGTGTAGGGTTCTTTCTTTATGAATCATTACAGATTTACTCAGCGGGCCTTTAATGTGAGAAATGTATCTGATATCCATCTGTTTTCGTGTTTATGCTGTTCCTGTGCATTTGGATTGATTCATTTCATTTGGCAGCTGATTGAAAATCCGGAGCCATTCATTTCAAGTAGCTGGAAACTGGGGACCGCGATCCCAAAGCCATATGTGAAGCGACATCATGGAGTTCCTTTTCTCATTACGCTGAAGAACAGCCTGATTCTTTCCACTGAACTCTGTATTCCTCTCATCTCCTCATTGCCTTCAGCCCCTCATGCCCAGAGCTCATATACCACCTCGCCCTCATCTCAAAGGTCCCTCGTGTTATTCTACAGAGTAGTAGTAAATGCTGTGCCTTAGTCTTCAATCTTCTCAGAGTTGCCCGGTCGTTTTATAAGTCATGCTAAGCCAGTATTTTGAGCAAGACCTTTTGCTCAATTGATCTTGCTTTTTGTGGTTTTGTGCGGTTAACTTTTTTTTTTTTTGTCCTAAAAGTTGAATGCCGCGCCTTGCCGCTACGTCCCTTACCTCTAGTCATGGCTCCAGACTATAACTTGCTCCTAAAGTGTTTCAAATATTGCACATGAACTCAATATGTAAGGTTGATTGAAAGCACTGTCTTGCTCTGACTGTTCTGTGTACAGCACATGGGAATTGAATATGCTCTTTAGTTCATTAAGTGTATAGCTACTTAGTTTGCCACTGATTAATCCGCAATCACTAACATCTTTTGTGATTAAAAAAAAGATGTAAAAAAGATGTAAAAGCATGTCTACGTACCATTTAAAATAAAGTATTAAAAAATTAATAAAACATTTTAAGTGTACCTTGATTTTGAGCCAGTTCCCGCCGCCTCCTTCCGATATTAATGAGCTTTGTTACATTGGAGTCGAAACCTGGGAACAAGGAGGTGGGAACTGGCTCAAAATAAAAGTACACATTAATTCACAAAATAACCACAACAAACAAAACAAGTATACATTATAATATATTTTTTTTATTTTAGAATTATATAATAAAATAAAACAATAAAAGAATACAATTGTGCATCTTAATATGACAGATTTAAGGACATGTAAACAAACTTGACTGGAAACTACAGTTCTGTAATGAGTCATCTGTATCTGGAACTGGAACTGGAACTTTTTTGCTATTTAGACTTCTCGGGTCCCACTGTGTTTGTCGATTTAAGTCATATGCAACAGAAAGCAGTTACACTACTGTTAAGAAGTTTGTGGTTTATTATTATTATTTATTTTTTTATAAAATCTCTTAAGCTCAAGGCTGCATTTATTAAATAAAAAATAATTACATCTCAAAGTAACTGTTTTCTAATTTAATGTATTTTAAAGTGTAAATTTTTTCTGTGATGGCAAAGCTACATTTTCAGCAGCCATTGCTCCAGTCTTCAGTGTCATATGATTCTTCAAAAATCATTATAATATGCCGATGTTCAAAAAACATTTATTATTATTATTATTATTATTATCAATTAAAAAAAAACAAAAACAGTTGTACTGCTTAATGTTTTTGTTGAAACTCTGATGCATTTTTAATACTTTTTTTTTTTTATTTCAAGATTCTTGGATGGATGGAATTTTCTAAAAAGCAGCATTTTTTTGTAACAGTGTAAAAGTCTTTACTGTAACTTCATTCATTTAATGCATCCTTGCTAAACAAAAATATTAACTTTTTTTCTCAAAATTCTTACTGACCCCAAAAATGAAGGCACACATGCACTCTAAAGATCTGACCACACTACATTGATGGTAATAAATTGTATCTATAATTTTGAATAACTTTTAATTTGTTGCATAATGGTCACATTCTGGAGTAGTGTTGTCAAAAGACCCGGTATTTCGGTACCAAGTCGGTACTAAAAAAATGAAAACGTTACGGTACCATGAAACAATTTTAAATAAGTATAAAGAATGGCATTGGTTTTGTACATTAAATTTTTGTTTAACGTTATTAATAAAAATGTTGTTCAATTAGCATGTTTTTGTGTTTTGCTTTGGTACCGAAATTGGTACCGAGAACCGTGGATTTTCACTGGTATTGGTACCGAATACTGAAATTTTGGTACCGTGACAACACTATTCTGGAGCACTGTGCTCCAATTTCTCCTTCCTGCCCCAGTTTCCCTGTTTTCATTTACTGTATCTCTTATCGCTATCACTTTCTCTCTGTTGCTCATGTATCACTTCTCAAGTATAATTGAATGGATGACTCATGAACTTAGGAAGTGGCTATTTAATTGTATGTTTTCAGTTATCTTCCTTGATGTATTATCATTGCATCTGTGCTTTCTAGCTGTATACAAGTCAAGTGTTTGTTCATTTGTCAAACTAATCTCTCACGCAAATGCTTTCGTCAGTGTCGTGATCACACCAGAATATGTTTGCTACCATTTATATGCATGCTTCGTCTTGGTAAGAATGAGTGGGATTGTTGTAAAAAGCCCATCACTCATGTAAATAGATGGCTTTGGTAACACTAATGAACTCTGTATCGGAAGTGTGATCAGTCTCCCTGCCTGTTCCTCATGTCTGTATAAAGAGCAGTCGTGTTTCCGGTGTTCATCTGGGTTTAGCGTAATGGTGCTGTCTGATTCCAGTCCACGCTTTCTGAAGAGAGAGCTCCTGTGAATTTGTATTCTGCAGCTGGCTCCAGGGCCTTTGGTGACATGAGAAATTAAGCAGCATCCTGCGCCTGGCAAAAACTCCTTGGAAAAGGTCAAGGTGAGAGACTGTGGGGGTTAACTCTGCAAAACTGTACCCAGATAGGAGAGTTTGGCTCTCTGGAGCGTTTTGCAGTTTGTGGCTACAGTTGGAGCGGGCATAAGCAGATTCTGAACACGCCTTAGCCAAGCTCTCAAAGATGTCAGTATGACTGGAAAGCAATAAAATCGCAGAGGCTCGTTCTGATGACCAGCACTGATAGGGCTGCCCTTGCTTAGAATTCACACCTAGCCTCAGTATGGTGCTCTGTCTACCAGCCCTCCACCCGGCTCATCTCCAAGCCCTCCATTTCCCCTTTTCCAGACCCCTATTACCAGGGTCATACCAATCATTATAACTCATCTCATCCCCTGTTTGGGAGGGTGGGAAAATGTGTCAGTTCATGAATGACAAAATGGGCATAATTATAATTATGATTGAGAATTGTTTCACATATTCAAATATTCTGAATATGAATTCTTTAATTGACATGAACTTTATATATTAATTTATATGTTCAGTTCTATTTGATATTTTATTTATTTTTTATTACTATTTCATCCATCCATCCATCAATCCGTCCGTCCGTCAGTCAGTCAGTCTGTGTCTGTCTGTCTGTCTATCATGTATATGTGTGTATATATATATATATATATATATATATATTAGGGCTGTCATCGTTAACGCATGCGATTAATTTTCATTTTAAGCTGCTAAACTCCGGGAAAGTTTTCAGTCCACTGATCCAGTAACCGAATGCATTCAAACAATCCGTCCGAAACAGCGCTAATAACAAGGAAACCAGGCTGATTACATCAGAGATTTCAGAGAGAACAGAAACTCGCGTTGCGTTTTACGTGAATTATTCATTCCAGTGTGTTTCGCTTTAAAACACGAGCTCTGTCATATTCGACGCAGTGATCGCACATTGTATTTACGCACAGGCACAGACATTTACATACATTCAGGTGTTTCCACACACATTCACGCTAATGTTTTGATTTGTCATGTTTATGCTGCTGTGTTTAGTTATACGGAACACAAACACACATTTAAAATGATATATTATAAATTTTTTCCACATTTCAGCATATATGTTAAGTTGATCATCACATAACATAATAAATATTACTTTTGCTTTATTTAGATTTTTATTTGTTGTATTTTATTTATTTTATTTTATTTTTTACATCTTTCTTTATAAATTGTCGCTACAGTGTTTTAGGAAGGAAATTGTTGCAAAAATAGTTTAGTTTTAAAACGTTCTATTCACCTTATTTTTAAGAGTGAGCATGGCCATTTGTACATTTTATGGGTCTGGCTCATAGACTGTATAAAACATGGAGGTAGTGTGGTGAGTGTGATTTGACCAAGTACAACATGTTCCTGGATCAACATCCTTGTTGATCCTGGAACATCATTCCAATCAACCAATCAGAATTGAGAGATAACTTTTCAGGAAATGTCAGTTTTAGGCTTACAATCGGGATTAGGTGCTTCTACACCGTTGTTAATCAGCTATCATTTCCCACTGATTTTAGGAATACATTATCGGTAGGGTTAGGTTTAGGGGTAGGGATTGGGTTTAGTCTATATTTTTGGACAGTAATGTTGATCCAGAATCAACAAAAGATGTTGATCCAGGAACATGTCTTACTTGGCAAATTCACAGCGACCGAGGTAGTGTCCATGACGTCACCCGAAGGGGTCTGAAGAGCATTTTTGAAGCCCAAAGTGGGCGGAGCCAGTCGTTGTCATCTTGGCAGTGCGTCACCGCGCATCACTCGCAGATAAACAAAAATGGGCAAAGAGGCGGGATGTGGGTGGAGCTAGTAGTGACCAAAGTGACAACAGCAGCAAACCACCTGTCACTCAAGTGGCCATGCCCTTAATTATGCAGTACTTTAAGGCTTAATATAATTTAAACGGATGAGTTATAAAAAAAATTCACCCCTCTCACAGTTGTCATGAAGGGAAAAATGATATTGCAAACTGGTGTATCTTACCATATTATTTTAATGTATTATCTTAATTATGAACAAACTGGTTTGTAGTGAAAACAGTTTACAGTTTACTGCAAGTGCAAAGTTGTTGTTCTTCTCGTTATTCCCCTACTGTGGCTAATGAACCAGAAGTCTTGCACAATCATAGAAAATGGCTTACTTCAGCTTTGAAAAATAAGTTGGATACAAGTGTATCTGTGGCAACTAGGCATTTAAACCATGTCATACTTGTGAAAAGATGCTGATATGATTTAAAATCTGTCCTCACCTCACTTTTCGGATTGTTCCTGCGCTCTTGTCTGTTACAGACATCCAACCATCCCCATCCCCCACATTTCAGTGACTGTCATCATATTTGAAACCCTGGCCATTTGCGAGCCCATGGCAGTGGCAAATGAGAGAAGCCAGTTGCTGGAATGACAGAGGAGAGGTGATCTTTACCACCTGTAGTGGTCAGTGGCACACAGCTGCCAATGTGACACACACATATATTCCGGCTTACACATGCATGTGGTTGCGCCCATAATGTGGGCCAGCCTAATGGGATGTTTTCTGCACAGGCTGCTGGGCTAATGAAAATAGATTCAATTGACCCCTTTCGGAAATAACAGGCCATGTGTGCACGAGGCAGTAGGCATATAAAGGGACAGATTAGCCAGGGTGGACACTTAAAGAATTTCTGCCTGCATGTCTTGATCCCTGTCAGGAAGCATTTAGGGCCATTGCACAAACATAGTTTGACGTTGTGGTGAGTTATATTGAGAGTGAAAGGGAGGCTTTTGTTGTTTTGGTTGTGCAGTGGCTGAGGGTTTTATAAATTCAATTTAAACAGGCTCCTCTGGGGTCATGGTGTGGTGTTGTCTAGAATCGTGCCAGTTCTCTTTCTTTCTGTCTTTCTCACACACAAACATGTATTGCATATTCATTTATATTCACAAGCTTTTCATGAAATCAAAGAAAATCCATAAAATGAGGCAGATTATCACATATCAGTTATTTATGACTGTTTTTATATACAGTGGGTACGGAAAGTATTCAGACCCCCTTAAATTTTTACAATTTATCTAATTAATTTTTTAGATGTTTAACAGAGCTGGTCAAATTTAATTATAATTTAAGTTTTTGAGAAATTAAACATTTAATGTAGAGAATTGTTGTATTATTGCATTTCCCAGATGCTTTCCAATTTAATTACTGAACCCAATACTTGAACATAATTGTTTTCTTTCTATAGGGATGTTAACCACAAAAATAGGTCAAGAAATATTGGCATTAAACGACTGATTCTATTGACAACTCTAGTTTCATTTAATAATTTCATTTGTCTATCTAAGGTATTGATTTTTATCGGTACCAGAGGCAGATATTGTACCAAAGCCAAAATTCTGATATTGATCCAACCCTAATCTACATATCCAACTTTCACCACCATGACATGTTTTTTTTCTGCAGTCGATGAGATCCACAGCTACCCTGACGTGTTCCTGCCCGGTAGCACGGTTCCGGTGGGCGCTCCGCACTCCTCCTCTCCCCAGACGGAGCACAGCGCAGATGGGCGGGTGGGCGGCGAGGTCCGCAGGTGCAGTTTGACCAGCATGGACAGCCAGTTATCAGGCTGCTGGGAGAGCAGGCTGAGCAGCACCGTCACCAACAGTGAGTGGGCAGCGGGTGGGCGAGTTCCGGGCACAATATTAAATTCTCTTACTAACTTTATCTAAAGCTCTTTGATCTTTTGTCAGACTCAGTACTGCGCAAACCTCATAATTAGAGATGCTTTTTGCTCTCAAGCCAAACAATGCAGTGTTAGCTGCTCTCTGTGCTGCCAAAAGGCCTGCTGCAGTGTATTTAAAGTAGATCATATCTCAGCTGCAGAGAAAGGACATAATGGCAGTTATTAGTCCAAAACATGGCGGTTTTATTGGCACTGCTTTATTCTTACAAGATCTGTCTGTCTCTAACAAGATATATATAATGGTACAGTAGAGGCAAGTGTGCCGTAATGTTTAGCTTTATTCTCTATTATATTTTTTTCTCTTTTATACAAGGACATAAAAACGGTCTTAAAAGTGGGGAAACACATTATAAATCCTTGTTTATGAATGTTCATTAGGTGACCGTGTCCTCTCAATTATAACTGAAACTTATGTGGTTGGCAGGTATCTGTTTTTTCACTACTGTGATTCTTTAACATTTAAAGAAATCTTACTGATTTCAAACAATTGTGAACAATAGTGTATAGTTTATATAAACCATATACCAATAGTTTGTTTTTGTGTATGTGATAGTTTCCAGCAACTGGTGGGGGTCTAAGCGGTTGGATTACGCTCTGTACTGTCCGGACGTCCTGACAGCATTCCCTACAGTGGCTCTGCCTCATCTGTTCCACGCTTCGTACTGGGAATCCACCGATGTGGTGGCCTTCCTTCTGCGACAGGTACATTTAGAGCCATTTATTAAACACTGGAACAAAGCTCAAAATCGTTTTCCATTTTGCTGTAAGACAGTGAAACCTCAGATCTTCCCGAGCTGTGTGGAGGACCATCCTGAACTTCATAGGAGTTTGCTATAGCCATTGTTCATTTTTTGTTTTTGTTTTATTGCGCATCTTTCAGGTCAAAAAACGTAATAACTTTCAGACTCCCTGACTATGCTCTACTCATGCCAGAGAAATCAAATTAGTACTACGTGACAAGACTGCAAGACTTGCCTTTTACCACAGAAATATTTTAGATACCCTGTTCTCACAACCTCTATCTGTCCTCTATCAAAAGAGTCCCTTTCTCTCTGCCCGCTGTTCCTAATTCGTCCCCTTCCTTCCTCTCTATCTTTTGTACTGGAAATTTCGATTCAGCCAAAGGAATGTACTTTATTCTAATATGCCTTTTTTATTCATATCAGCTGTACCTCTGGCTGAGAGACAAATAAATGTGGCACATCCTTCACTTTCAGAGACTTTTGAAGATCAAATCACCGATGTAGTTCTCAATGCAGATGTACACGGGCTTCACTTTAGAGTGTCAAATGCAAATGGCACCTCTTATTAAATTCATTCTTAAGAAGCGGCCTCGGCACAGGTGGGAAGGAAGTAGTCAATTTAGGCAAATCATAGACCAATCTATTTTTCTAAATGCAGTTCCTTCATAATTGTCTTTGCCTGCGTGAAGGAGAGAAATAGAGCTGACAAGAGTTCCAGCTGCAGTGTTTGATTTAGGTGTCACACGCCAGATAGTGTTATCTATGTGCAAATTTTGTGCTTTTGGTTTCATGTTTTATGTATTTGGTCTAATATGTTTGTGTTCTCCTTAGTTTATTGTGCATTCCTCAGGCCCTGCTAAATGGAAAGCTGTCATTACAGATGCCATTATGACATGATCAAGTCATTACATACCACTTACACATTTCAAAATGTCACATGAAAAGGTGGAGTCTTTCCAAAGCGTGTACAATCATTCAGAGATATAAATATGGGTTGTTCAGTATGAAAAAACGTCTCAGGTTACTTATGTAACCATGGTTCCCTGAGTAGGGAACGAGACACTGCGTCCTCTAGGGGTCGCTATGGGGGAACGCCTCGTCGTGACCCGTGTCTGAAGCATACATTGAAAAAACACCAACTCGTTGGCCGGCGACAGCCATGACGTCACTACCGGTGCGACTATAGTATAAATAGGCGCCGGGAGCATACATCATTCACTTCTTCGTCTGAAGCTTGCGTCCGCAGCATGGCAAGAAACCTAGAGGACACAGTTTCTCATTCCCTACTCAGGGAACCATGGTTACATAAGTAACCTGAGACGTTCCCTTTCATGGGAACTTCGAACTGCGTCCTCTAGGGGTCGCTATGGGGAACGGTATACCCACGCCACCATGCCGAGGGGAGTGCATGCCAGAACCATGGCGAGCAC